ATATCAACATAATATCAATATTATACCACTATCATATCAACATCATACCACTGTCAATGTTAATATCGTGATATGACAGTCATAAGACTCATCTCCTTTATCTTAACTCGGAAATTAAAAGATATTGTATACAAAAACACATTAATTATGATATACACAATGATGTACATTTTGTTATGTTTTGTCAAACATAAGACTTCATACCAACATCATATCAGCGTAATATCATGATAATATCACTATGTCACTGTATCATAGTGATAATACTATGATATAATAGTGATATGATGTCATCAAATTATTTTGACAAACCTAAGCCCTCATACCAACATCATATCAACATCCTCTGTAGTGATGGCAATTTGAACCCTTCTCGCGGGTAATACCCAACCCGACCCGCAATAGCGTGGGGCGGGGGCATGGGTATCTACTTATGATCCGCCTAGCCCCGTCCTGCCCCATTATATCTCATTTTCTTGCAATATCTATTCATATTTCTCCTATTTTAACTTTTCTTCAACTAGTTAGAGTCGATCTTTCAACTAGTTAGACTCAATTAAACATTCTATTATCACTATTTTTCATTCATAAAGTGTTTTCTCCTTTGTTTTACCATAAAAAATAAAATTTTGCGTCAATTTTTTTCCAAATAACATGTAAGAGTAAGTCGACCTGCCCAATCCCTTACCCGTACGAATATTACCCGCCCATCCTAGCCCGCAGTAGCGTGGGAGGGACATGGGTAATGAGGTACCCATCCCGTCCCATTGCCATCACTAATCATGTGATATCATATCACTGTCAATGGTCATATTGTAATATGACTGTAGTAAGACCTCATAAAAAAATTTGCGTAAAAAAATATCCAAATGGATATCATCTTGTAGAGCCCAAAAGTTAGATTTTTCTGTGCAAAAATTTCTAATAGCCATTCGAGAATCCGCGCCAGCCCCCAAAATTTGTCAACTGCCCCCAAAATCTGACCAACCCTCTATCCTATTTGCTACTTTCCATCTTTACCACTACAAAAATGGCCATTAGATATCTTCGTACATAACTATTGAGTTTCGTATCCTAACCTAAGTAAGTACTATAATTACAAACAAACTGGAATACTAATGAGTACACATAGAATCAGAGAGGGTTGTTGAGGAGAAGATCTCAAAGCTTGCGATTGAAATCCATAACAGCAAGAGAAGACATTCCAGATCAAGATTGGAGATGGAAATGCAAAGAATTGAGACTTCATTCTCCCCACTAGCTGCCCCCAAAAGCCGCAAGAGATCATTACATACTGCTGTCCCAGAAGAGTGTGGGACACGAAGAGGTCGGTGAACTACTAAAGACACTGGTAATCACTTATTCATTCACTCCTGGCTTGGAATGTTAGAGATTTAGGGGACTCTAATAAAAGAGCAAAAGTGAAAGGCTTATTGAAGAGGTGGAATCCAACTATTGTTGGCCTCACAGATGGAAAAATATGACCAGAGACTAATTGCCTCAATTAGTGATAGCAAGAATGTCAACTAGATTGCGAATGATTCGGCTGGTGCTAGCGGGGGCATCGTAATTTATTGGGACAAAAGCCTGTATAAAGCTCTCACAATTTGGGAAGGAAGGTTCTCGTTGGCATTATGATTGAGAGTGGAATCATCGTTTCAGCCTTGGTGGTCTATGGTCCTCATAATAAGGAGGACAAGTTGGAATTTCTGAAGGAGCTAGATACTGTATGCCAGAACTAGACGACTTCACTTTGAATAATTGACGATTTTATTCTTGTTAGATCATCAAAGGATTTTACTGAGGCTTCTCGAAGCGAAGAGATAATGGTCAAGTCAACTTCTCATTACCAAACATAATCTCCTCAACCTCCCTCTACATGGCTATAGATTCACCTGGAGTAAAGGAGGCTCGAATACTTCTTTATCACGCATTGGTAGGGGTTTGATCAATCTCAGCTTCGAATACCAGGTGGTCTCGATGCCCTCGATCGCGTGGAATCATACCACAACGCAATCCTAATGTAATACGGAAGGGCCGATAAATTCTGCCACCCGTGGAGATTTGAAAATATGTGTACCCTTGAAACTTCCTTCTTCTCTCATCTTGTAGGTTGGTGGAATGTACCAGTTATGGGGTTGAGTTATATCCTGAGATTTGTATAGAAGGCCAAGCAAACCAAAATGATGATCAAACAATGAAACAGAGAGCACTTTGGTAAGATGGATGGGAAAATAGCGAACCTACTTGAAAGAATCAAGAGCCTGGATGTGAATGAAGAGCGCGGGTAGCTGAATGAATCTCAATGTGTTTCAAGATAGTTGTTGAAGTGTGACCTGGAGAAGACACTCTTAATGGAAGAAATTATGTGGCGTCAAAGATTAAGTGAGTTTTGGCTCAAGGTAGGAGATAAAAACTTTGCATATTTCCATAGAGTTGCAAACCAAAATCGAAGGAAACATAAGATTCGAAGAATTAGAGTCAATGGCCTTATGGTGGAGGATACATATGGAATCTAGACAACTTTCAATGAATTCTTTCAAGGCAAGTTTGTTGAGGAAGACATGAGAAGACCCTCTCGTCAAGGCATCAACTATCACCCGTGCTCCCAAACTATGGAGGACAACGAGCATTTCATAAAGCCCATTTTGGAAGCATAAATGGGGAAATCTATTTGCCACTGCAACGGGGGCAAACCGCCAGGGTCGGATGGTTTCACTCTGGAGTTTTATAAAAAGGCATGGAATATAATCAAGACTAACGTGCTTAAAGATATGGATGAATTCTACCTCAGGTGAACTTTCCTAAATTCGTTCGCGCATTCATTTATCTGCCTGGTGCCAAAGAAGGATATGATTGAGGACATGACTGATTTCAAGCCGATCAGTTTGATTGGCAGCCTGACCAAGGCAATCTCCAAAGTGCCCAACGCTCGACTCCAGCCTTCATGGGTTTTGCAATCTCCAAATATCAGTTTTCTGGAACTAGGGGAAGACAGATCCATGAAGTTGTTTTCCTCGCAAATGAATTAATTGATAGCCGTAAGAAAAGTGGGAAGCCTAGCATGGTGGTAAAGCTCGACATAGCAAAGGAAATTTGACACAATTAATTGGGAGTGCCTGTGTAAGACTTTGGAAGCCATGGGGGTTCCAGATTTTTGAAGTGGATTAGAGGGCTGACCTTCTCGACAAAGCTCTTTGTACTTGTCAATGGCGAGGTTGTCGTTTCTTCGGGATGCAAAGAGGTGCTAAACAAGGAGACCTCCTCTCCCCTTTCCTGTTTAACTTCGGAATGGACATACTCTCGTTCATCTTAAATGAAATCTTCAATGCTAGTTTTAGATCAGGATTTTGTGCTGATGAGAACACTCGCAGGGGTGAGGCATGTAGTCACTTGCTCTATGCGGATGATGCAATTATATTTTGCGAAGCATCCGATGACGAAGTGATGAATATATTGGTGACTCTTATATGTTTTCAGAGTATCACCGTGATAAAAGGTTAACCATGAGAAATCTCGGATTTTCCCTATTGGTGAAATACAGAACTCGAAAGATTGGCTGAATTTTTGGGATGTGAATGGGAATACTTGTCAACTGTTTACCTCGGATTTTCGCTAGGGGCCTCTCCTTCTTCCCCATCCTTCTGGAACAAGATCATCAACAAAATGCAAAGAAGACTTAATGGATGGAAAGGTAATTATCTCTCACTTGGTGGCAGAATTGTGTTGAATAGTACTGGCTAGCCAGTGCCTCTGTATGAGTTCACTCTTCCTAGCTCCCAAAGGTGTGATCAAAACCATGGAAAGAGTACATAGAGAGTTCATATGGTCAGGCCCTCAAGAAAAGAAGAAATTCCATTTTGTTTCATGGCAAGTATGCAAGACTCCAAATGAGATGGGTGGATAGGGAATTAGGGACTTGGAGACTCACAATATCGCATTATTGTACAAGTGGTGACAGAAATTTGCCCAAGAAATATATTCTTGGAGAGAACTTATCTCAATTAAGTTCCCCAACCCAAATTCAAAATGAATGCCCAGAGAAGTTCAAGGGGGGGTTGGTTGTAGTCCCTGGTCACAGATAGTTAAACTGAGGAGTACATTCTAGAGAATGGTGCACATCGAACAAGGCCAAGATTCATGGACATCCTTTAACACATGATAAACTCGAGAGGAAGGGTTTCAGTTTCCCTAATAGGTGCGCCCTGTGTGAGATGGAGGAAGAAACAGTTAACCATTTGTTTACCAGCTTCAAGTTCTCGAATGAAGTTTGGTGTCTATTGAGCAACTATGTCAAGATTGAAGGTGATGGATGCAACGATGTGGATATTACTGTAAGAATCAAGAAGTGGTCGTACTGCAAACTGTCAAGGACAATCCAATGGTTTGCTCGGACTGCATTACATGCTTACTGTTGGAATCTTTGGATAGAGAGGAATGCAAGAATCTTCAATGACAAGATGGCACTACCGCAGGTGACTGTGTGAAGGATTGGACAAGCAATTACGAGATGGTTGGTTGTAGCATAGAAGGTGGAGAGAAGAATTGTCGAAGGATTGGCTTAAAGTACTAAGAGGCAGGTTACTCCCCGCTTCAAGTAAGCTATTAGCAGTGCAAGTATTGGATAATGCCTCAGGACTATGTAGATGGCTCTACACTCGACACATTATCACTGTACATGGCTGCTCTGCCATGACGGGTCGTTTCCTCTCCTACCTGAGGCTCTGCATGTGGTCTTGGTTTATGTTGTAGAAGCGATCCTATGTAGCTTTTGTTTTGTCTTCTTAGTCCTTTGTCTCCGTTTTCTTTGGCCTCTGTGGTTGGCCATTTTATAATTCAACACTTTATCTGGACCATTAGATCAATCCAAAGACTGAGGGGAGCTTAGTCAAGTGACTAAGGACCCCCCCTAGTCACCAGATCCGCACTTCCATTTTATAACCTTACTGGATCTTGGACCAATTTTTATTATATCGCCTTTATAAAAAATTGAGTACACAATGATAAATAAAAAAAGTTATAATTACTATTTTGTTACCAAACGGATAACTTCAACAACAAAATATTAGCGACGTTTTAATACATTCAACAAAGTTTGATGGCCATTTAACCTCAATTCTTTCCTCTTTTCACTTATGAGTGCTCCCCTCCCCACCGGCCACCGAGGAATCTTCATATCAGCGCAGGACTTTTGGAAGAGGAAAAAGGCGCCGCCGTGGTTTCATTATAGCCGTTAAAAGTTAGTTCACCTTATCTGATTTATCACCGTGGCCGCCGTGGGCAATGAATCCCCAACAAGCCAAAACCCTCACTACGCTGTAACTCTTCCACCCCCCAAAACAACCATCCATGGAGATTCTTCTCAAATCCCCATTTCCCATCTTCTCCAGACGCCCAATTTCTACCTTCCTCATTAGACCCACTAAACCCTCAGCCGTCGCAATCAAGCCGCCGCCTCCTGACTTCGACTTCCGATCGTCGGACATATACCTGAAGTCTCGAGCCACGATCTCAACAATCCATCCCGAGTTAACCGACTTGGCCGAATCCGGCACCTTATTCCTGGTCGAGAAGGGACAGTTCGGGCCGGTGCCTGCCTGGAGAACCGAGTTCGTCGAGCCGGAGGCAATCTGGCTGGTGGGCACTTCTCACGTCTCAAGCGAATCGGCGGTAGAGGTGGAGCGAGTTGTCCGGGCCGTGAAGCCCGATAATGTCGTCGTCGAACTCTGCAGAAGCAGGCAAGTGCGCGCCGATAAGATGCCTTTTGGTTGTTTTTTTGTCAAACCCACTTCTGAAGTTTTCGTTTACAGAGCTGGGATCATGTACACTTCTTCTAATGAAGGCGGCGAAGCTGGGCAGGAGTTGAAGTCGAGTATGTTCTCGCTGAGTGGCAGAGAGGGATTCTTTGGAGCTATTGGTCGTAGCCTGAATTTAGGTAACATACTCTAAAATCAGCTGATTCTGCTCCACAAATTCCAGTGCTCCAGCTCTAACAAATTAATTTGGGTTGATGTTGCAGGAGGCCAAACTGCTCTGGCTTTGCGACTTCTTCTAGCGATCTTCTCCTCAAAAGTTTCCTCCGATGTGAACCGTCCTTTTGGGGATGAAGTATGCTAAACCACAAATCAATTGCACATTTCCTGAATCGAACAGCTTGATGCTAATTACTTGGTCACATCTTGGCAGTTCAGAGCAGCTCGAAAGTTGTCAGAGGAAGTTGGAGCTCAACTAGTACTAGGGGATCGCCCAATTGAGATAACTGTACGAATTGCTTCTTCATTAGTGAAACCCAGTTCTTCCTTGGTGGGTTTCCGTTCTATCTTGTTGATCTTTTGTCGAATTGCAGCTTGAAAGGGCTTGGAATTCTCTGAAATGGAGTGAGAGGCTAAGCTTAGTGACAGCAGTGGTTAAAGGAATCACAGCAACTCCCACCCAGGTTTTCCCCATTCTCTTTTTTAACCCTCCTCTAAGTCTTTGTTAACCCTACTTTAACCCACTGTAAATCAGCGGTTTCCTAATGCAGCCGGGGACGACGAAAGCAACCGCCGACGGCGATGACACGGACGCATCTTTCCGGCTCTACGAGCAGCTAGGCTTTTCATACCCATCGCTCCTCCCACCTCTGATCCACGAACGTGACACCGTAATATACTGCTTCTACCCTTCAATCAATCTAACAAAACCCACTCAATTTCTGACCCTAGATTTCCCCTGTTTTCTTTGGGGTTTGAAGCACAGTACCTGGCTTGGTCTCTGAAACGGAGCAAAGCAGTGAACGGCGGCAAGAACGTGGTGGGGGTAATCGGAAAGGGCCACATGAACGGCGTCGTATATGCGCTTGTTTCCGATCTGGGAGACCTACGGTTTCGGGACCTCGTCGGGCAGAGATCTTCTGACGGCGGCGGAGGGTCCTCTTTCGTTGCTTCGGCCGGCATTAAAATACTCAAGAGCTTGCTTAGGGACACTCTAATTGGCGTCGTGCTTTGGCTCATCTATGAGCTCGTGAAAGATAGCATTGTTGTGAGCCCATGAACCCTTGGGCGGATCGTTCGGTCCAATTCTTAAGCCCATATTGGTTAGGGAGTTGGGCCCTGAAGATCCACACAATCCATGTCTATAGCATCCCGTGGGCTTGTTTTTGTTTATTTTAGTTTGAGGGTTCAATTATACTCAATTACAAACGTTTTACTACTACAGTACTACTATAAGATAAATTTTTAACTCACTCTTGTGAAGTTTTTTTTATAGAATCATAAAAACACATACATTTCATAGGGTTTGTGCAGTGCGACCTTGTCGCCGCGCCGGCGCCTGAGCCGGTGCCAATCTGTTCCCCCTCTTTTCTTTTCTGTGCTTTTTGCTCTTCCTAGATCGTCATGGCTTCATCATCGACTCCATTTCCTGAGCTGATTCCGACGAAGCCATGGGTGAGCTTATTTGGAATTTCTGAGGCGAATCGTCTCTGCTACATCAAACCTGAGGTTGTGAATGGTGGATTGAGGATGCCAAAGTCGGTACGAGAGGAAGGTGCGGCGAGGTGGAAACACTGTCTGGTGGGCCAATTTTTGCAAGACATTCCTCCATTGGTTGTATTGAGGCGTTGGGCTAACAAGATTTGGGGAAGGGATGGTCAGGTAAGGGTCTCGCTCCTCTGTGACAAGCTGATTCTCATTCAATTGCCGTCTCAAACAACCTGTGACTGGATTCTGGAGAGTGGACCATGGTTTTACAACGACAACTTGCTGTATCTTCACCCCTGGGCTCCGGGAATTAATGCTGAAGATTTTGGCAGGAAGGCTCTTCCGATCTGGCTGAAGCTGTCGAATGTTCCTCTCGAGTATGTGAACTACCAGGGATTGAGTCGTATTGGCAACTGGGTGGGGATTCCCTTGGGAGTGGATCATACTACGAGGATGGGGCGTAGGATGGGGTTTGCTAAGGTTTTGGTTGAGTTGAAAGCAGAAGGACCATTCCCGGATGCAGTGACAATCGGCCTGATGATGATGTACCGATCCAGGTTCGGGTTGAATACTGTCATCTCCCTTCAGTTTGTCCAGTTTGTAAGATGTTTGGAACGGGCTGTTGTGGGATTGTGCCGGGGCAGCAGGTGTGGGTGCCTAAGCCTGGGCAGAATGAGCAATCTGGTAGTGAACAGGTGGCTGACGAGGTCCCCTTGATTCCATCTATCCCGCAGGTAGAGGCAGAGGATACAGAATTGCATCAGAACACAGGATTGGTTGCTGGTTCTCCATCAATGGTTCATTCTCCCTCTAGAATTACCATTGGTGGGATCAATCTGGATGTCTCATTCTCGGAAGTTTCATCTCCCTTACCTGCTGCAGGATTGTCTCCACAATTACCCTCTGAAGCGGAGTTTCAAAGGGTTGTCCATGGTGCCAAACCGCGTTGCTGGTCTCCTGCACCTAGTCCTACTAGTGTGCTACATGTTTCCCCCTCTTCTTTCAGTATCCTTGCGGATCATGGTGAGGAGGCAGTTCGATTGCAGGATGCTCCTAAACGAGGTAGTAAGAAGATGGGGCTTCAGCCCCAGGCTTCACCATGAATTGCTTAATCTGGAATGTTCGAGGATTTAATAAATCCTCGAAGAGACAGGACTTCTATCAGGTCCTGAGGCGTCTAAATATTAGTTTGGTAGCTGTTCTGGAAACTCGAGTGAGGCATGCTAAGTCAGAGGAGATTGCAGAGGGTTTTTTAGTTGGTTGGGAAAGGTATTTGAGTTATTGTGAATCGGATTTGGGTCGGATATGGTTATTCTGGAAGCCGGAAATTAAGGTGACTATATTGAAGCCAGGTAAGAACTTTGTACATACCATGGTTCAGGAGCAGGGGGGTGACTTGTTCTTTTTTACTGCTGTTTATGGTGCTAATGATGAAGTGGAGCGTCGGGAAACATATGGTGCTATAGGGCAAGTAAAAGTGATTGGTGCCCCTTGGTTAGTTGGAGGTGATTTTAATGCAATTATGAAGCCAGAAGAAGCCTCAAATCAGGTACAGGTGTCCTCTAGTATGACAGAGTTTGATGATTGGAGGAATAACATGGAATTGGAGAATGTCAACACTCTGGGGCCTTTATTTACCTGGGTCAACAATCAGCAGCATAATCCTATAGCTAAACGGTTAGACAGGGCTTTGGTGAATGTTGCTTTGCTTTCTGATTTTCCATACTGTGTTACTGAGGCTATTCCAGGTACTTTCTCCGATCACTGTGGTATCTTGATTAAGGCTAAAGGTTCTGAGAAATCACTGCCGAAGCCATTTAAGTATTTTGATTTTTGGGGGGATCATCCTGAGTTCCTGCCAATGGTGGAGAAAGCGTGGTCAGCAAACTTTTATGGGCATCCCTGGGTTATTGTGCAGAAGAAACTTCGAGAGGTCAAAAGGGTCCTGATTCAGCTGTATAGGGATCATTTTGCAAATCTTCCCACTCAGGTAAGGGAGATTGAAAAGAAACTACTACTGATAAAGGCTGAGTGCTTTTCTGCTCCTACTGAGATAAATTTGCAGCTGAAGAAAGAGCTTGAAGCTCAATTAGAGGATGCAAAGCAGGCTGAGGAGGGATTGTTTTGGAAAAAATCAAGGGAGGCAGGGCTTAAAAGAGGAGACAAAAGTATCAGGTATTTTCATCAATCAGTGAAAATAAGAACAGCCAAAAGAGCAATCAGAAGAATTACAACAGAAGATGGAGTGGTGGTTGAAGATGTGGAGCAGGTGGCTAATGCAGCGGTTGAGTTTTATCAGAAATTATTTGGGGTGGCTAATTCAGATATCAAGCCAGACCAACAGGTTTTGTCAGGGGTGATTCATAAGCAGCTCTCCCAGCAGAACAAGGAGTGGCTTTGTCAGGATGTAACAGTTGAGGAAATCAGAGAAACTGTCTTCCACATGAATATCCACAAGGCACCAGGCCCTGATAGATTTTCCTCTGGGTTCTTCAGGAAAACATGGCACATAGTTGGGGAGGACATAACAAAAGGAATACAGGCTTTCTTTGAGAGTAATCGACTCACTAGTGGAGTAAATGCCACTGCTGTGGCCCTGATTCCAAAGGTAATTAATGCTGAGACATTTAAAGAGTTTCGTCCAATTTCATGCATTAATGTTCTGTATAAGATAATTGCCAAAATCTCAGCTAAGAGGCTTAGTGAGGTGCTGCCTAGTGTTATCAGTCTCAATCAAACTGCTTTCATCAAGGGTAGACAGATAGTAGACAATATCATGTTAGCCCAAGATCTTGTTAGTGGATATCATAGGGAGAAACTGTCATCTAGATGTGTAGTTAAAATTGACATTATGAAGGCCTTCGATTCAGTTAATTGGGATTATTTGTTCACAATTATGAGGCTGATGGAGTTTCCTTCTAAATTTCTGGATTGGATTTTACTTGTTTATCAACTGCACACTTCAGCATCTGTGTTAATGGAGGAATGAAGGGTTTTTTTAATGCTAAGAAGGGGGTGAGGCAGGGGGATCCCCTCTCCCCCTATCTGTTTGCAGTGGCAATGGAGGGGCTCTCAGGTTTGCTAATTAAAGCCTCAGAGCAGGGTTTGATTCCCTATCATCCGCTGTGCAGCAAGATCTCCTTAAATCATCTTTGTTTCGCGGATGACTTGCTGATTTTCACAGTGGGATCAGCAAGAGCAATTCTGGCAGTGAAGCAGGTGTTAGAGCAGTTTTATTGGCAATCAGGTTTAAGGTGCAATCCAGCAAAGTGCTCAATATTCTTTGGGGGGGAATCAGTCAAATACAAGATGAATGCTTTGGAATTATCAGGGTTTGCTGAGGGCTGTTTACCTGTGAGATACCTGGGATTGCCGCTCATTTCAGGTAAGCTGACTGATAGGGATTGTGATGCATTGGCATCAGCAATCACAAAGAAGGTTCGTTCGTGGAGAGCTAAAAAGCTCACATTTGCTGGTAGGTTACAACTGATTAATTCGGTGGTGACAGGTCTGATTCAGTATTGGTTACAGGTTTTCATCTTGCCTAAGAAGATTATAAAGAGAGTTCAGAAGATTTGTATGGATTTTCTATGGCATGGGAATGAGACAGGTAGAGCAAAGATCGCCTGGGAGAGAGTGGCAAGGCCTAAGAAAGAAGGTGGGTTAGGGATTCGAGATTTTAGCTCCTGGAATACTGCTTGTTCTTTACGTTTGCTGTGGTTATTGATGATGCAATCAGGGGCTATATGGGTTACTTGGATGCTTAGGTATCGCTGTAAGACTGGAGATATCTGGACCATGAAGGAGAATGCTAATAGCTCCTGGGCTTGGCGAAGAATTCTGAAGAAGCGCTCACAGGTACAGCCTTTTCTTAGCAGGCAGGGGGATTGTGCCTTGTGGGATGGGAGGCCTATGGAAAAGTATTCGGTTAAGCGAGTCAGGGATACTCTGCGTCCAAAAAACAGCGCTGTGGAGTGGTATAAGGTAGTTTGGGGGCCGAATCATGTGCCTCGATTTAGTTTTATAGCCTGGCTGGTGTTGCTTGATGGAATTACTACTAAAAGTAAGCTGCTGCGTTGAGGGAAGGTGAGTGAGGATAAGTGTGTCCTTTGTGGCACTGGGAGTGAAACACGAGATCATCTGTTTGTAACTTGTGAGTATACAAGAATGCTGTTGCAGGGGTTTTTGCAGGATGGACTGGTTCGAGGATCATGGGCGGAGACTGTGCAGGCAATCTGTGCAGCAGTGCAACGAGCTCCACACCGTGGGCTTAATGTCAAATGGTGCCTCTTTGTCACGTATATATGGCAAGAATGATGCAGGAGATGTCATGCCGAGGTTCCTAGAGAGGTTGATGTAGTTAGGGAGATAATGCAACGGGGTTTAAGCATATTAGGTCTGCAGTAGTAGTGGAGTGTTGTGGTTGAGTTGGTGTATTTTCTTTGTTATAGACTCTGTTGCTATTTCTTTGGGAAACCACTTTGGTCCCCCCCCCCCCCCCCCCCCCCGCGCTTCGTTGTATCTTGAATTGCTAATTTGCAATTCGTTACTTAATACAAAAGGGTAACTGCAACGGGGAAAAAAATGTCTTTAGTTCATCCCTTCTTCGTTATAACTTTCACTGTGAGATCACATTGTACGCACTATACACCACATCTTTTTCGTATTAACCTAAAACACTCCAAATTTTTAGACGTGTAGTTTGCAAAACCTCTTATAGCCATTATGATTATGTGAAATACGTTACAACGAACAGTCGTTGACTTTTTTTGTTACAGAGCATAGATCTTTATTACAAAATAGTGGACACAAGTTCTTATCAGTTGAGGGGTGTTAAATATAACTTGTTCTTTTGTATTTATTGTTCCTCGTCAATGTCAAACTAGCTTCGGCAGATAAATACATCTGCCTTGAATAGCTATGGACAAATATCCAGCAAAGACTTCCAGAGCTAATGTTCAACTCGGAGGCAACAATCTCATTGACTCTAAAATCTAAATCAATGTGGTGGACCTCACTTCAGGTAGGTAAGCTCTTACTCTTTTTGTTTTCTTTACCATTTCATTTATTTTTTGTAGTTGGAGGTTCAATTCGTTTCAGGGCCTTTATGGTCATAAAATTGCACCAGTAAAGTCAATATATTTGTGTTCATTATAATTTGATTATTGAAGTTGAACTCTTAGATCTATCAGATTTTACTAACCGGATTAATCTAGTTAGTGGTACTTTTTTTTTGTGTGTGTGTGGAAAAGCTCATATCTATCTTTCTTATGTGTGTCTTGAATATTTCAATAGTTTGATATCTAAAGTTTGTGATTTGTTAAATCAAGAACAAAGGTGTAAGTATTTTGCCCATTCCGAACAGTTCGGAAGATCTTGGCTTTCTATTCAAGAGAATTCAAGTTTCCTCCCACGATTCAGGTTCATTTTTGTCGTTTTTTATGTTGAGGTGTTGTGGAACGGCGAAAGAATTGATGAATAATTTACTGATAGAGATTATCTGCGATTTTTCCGTGTTGGGGGACAGTATTACGTTGATTCTCAGGTTCAATGTTGTTGCTTGGTTGATCATCGTTTGTTTTTTTTTACAATTTCACATATTTTTGTAGTTGGACGTGTAATTCATTTGAGAACCTTTATGGTAATAAATTCCACCAGAAATGTTAATATATTTTTGTTCATTATAAAATTGATGATTGAAGTTGGACTCTTAGATCTATTAGATTTTACTGAACGGTTAATCTAGTTAGTGGTACTTCTTTTGGAAAAGCTCATTTCTATCTTTCTTATGTAGTTATGTGTGTCATTAAGAATAATTTGATGTATAAAGTTTAGGATTTATTAAATTAAGCACAAGGGTGTAAGCATTTGCTCCACTCTGAACAATTGGGAAGATAGAAATAAGCTGGTCCAATTGCTAAATCAGCACAATTTCCTCTTCATGTATGGTTACCAGATGCAATAGGTTTTCTATACGAGGCTCAAGTTGTGGTATGATTCAAGCTCATTTCTGTTATTTATGAATGATTCAAGCTCAAGTTGTGGTATGATTCAATCTCATTTCTGTTATTTATTAATGATGAGATGTTGTTGGATGGCGGACTTTTTTTTTGAATACTTTATCGAGAGATTATATTATATTTTCTCATAGTTGGAGCCTGTACTTTATCGATTCCCAAATTCAATATTTTCCCTTGTTTGGAGCAGTTCTTGAACTTTGAAGTTGTTGCTTCATCATGATCTTACTTGAGACTTTGCAGTTCAAGATGGCTTCAAAAGCTAGACTAAGCATGGATTTGGAACAATCCAATCTGTTGATTAGTATGTATGTGGTTTTCTGGTTGTTGTTTCTAATACATTACTTCTAGCTGATGTTTGAGATGCAAGACAATAGGTCTTTGGCCTTCACTTTCAATATTGTTTTACGTTATAAAACATACCAGTAATATAACAAAAATAAACTACGATGGCCATTGATTTATACAATTAGTGTATTTTAGTATGCTCGTACAAAATTCTACCATTGTTTTATTAGGTTTTACTTCAATGCAATGCGAGTGATTAGGTTACTGACATGTTTTTATCTTTGAAAATTTCATTTTAATTCCATTAAGTATAAAATTCAGTATTGGAATACCAATAAATAAATTATATTATGTTTTAACCTCTAAGCCAAAAATATAACCCAAATATGAATATAAGATATTTAGATCCTATTCCCTAAATTTGAAAAGATTTTACAAATCAAAATGACATGCTTTTATTAATGAAAATCACAACAAAAAAGATTTGAGGATCTTCTGTACAAAGATTTTTCATATAGCAATCTCTTATTTTTGGAATTATAATAAATGAAATGTAGAGAAAAATATTTTCCAAAATTGACTTTCTTAATTTTAAGGTGGTTTGGAAGGGCATGGGAAACCGTGTGCGGCAAATTTTTTGTTTCCTTCCATATTATTATGCACAACAATATGGTAATTTGGTTAATGAAAAGTAAAAAAATGTGTGAAACAACTGAAAATTAAGCCATGACATGAAGACCTGTCTTATTCCATTACAGAACTGTAAAAGAAAAACAATAATATGTGACAAGTGTAAGAAGTTATTTATTGCAAGTGTGTCCATGACTTCACTATAAATTTCACTCTCCGTAACCTCCCATCACACAGTCAAAAGCAGCCACATGAATTCAGAATGATAGAAGAAAGGATGGGAAGTCCATCTTGTGAGGTTGTTTTGCTGAATCAATCTGAAACCCATACCACCAAATCAAACACTTTCATTTTGCATATCCAAATCTTGATTGTGGATGATGATCCAACCTGTCTTTCTATTGCGGCAGAATTATTGAAACGGTGTTGCTCATCAAAAGGTACATCTATTGAAAATTTACTCTTAAAAATTTGAGCTTCCATAGTTGTTAGTGTTGTTATTGTTTCATCCATTTCAAATTATTTGCCCTTTTCCCTCTTAATTTTTGGTGTCCATTTCTGTGATTCATGGATATGAGCGTTTGGTTGTTAACACTCTTCAGTATAACATATACCATTTTTTTCTAAGGGCACAGGGTCCATGGTATATACCCTCAATTTTGAGTTTATATGGTACACCCTAGCATCAAACGATTGTGATTTGTAGACGATTTTCGTGTAAATTAACATGCTTTTCTTGTTCCTTGCTATACTATTGAAGATTGAGAATTTTTGTTATAGACAAATCAAATGATTAAGATGATGTTTTTGAGGGCATGCACCCAAAATTGAAGATGATTTGCAGGTAAATTCACACCATTTGAATAATTGTAATACAATTTAACCTTGAGTGTATAACATATGCACACCCTTTTCTAATTCTCATATTTAAGACTGAATTGTCATATTTTTTTTCTTCAAAACAAATGAATATTAGTGTATATATTTAAATTCATCACAACGGGGCTCAAATGGTAGAAATATACATATAATTTCCCTCCATATTTAGGTTTATGCATATTAAACTCGAATGGCCAATTTCAATCCAATGTTTGTAGGTATATTAGAGCTCGATAGGAAAAGGCCAAATTGTTTTTCAACTACGAAATTTTATTTTTGAAGAAAGAGGATAGTGTGTATGTGCTTTAAGATAAAACATGCATTTGACTGAAATAATCTTTGTTTGTTACCCACTAGGTTTTTCGTATATATAAATTGTTTGCTACCTATCAATCGCTTTAAAAGTTGTGGATTTGGTTTATGCCTTTTATCTTCCAATTTTTGCTTGGTTAATGTGTTGTAATGAGTGAGAAGGTTTTGGCCTTATAAAATCTAATTCAACTTCTAATATTAAATATGTTCTTCCATTTTTGCTATGTTAATGTATTTTAATGTTAATAGTTTCACCTTAATCTTTAAAGATTCAGTAGTCTTCAGTCTATGATATATTGGGCTTAACTTTTAAGTATCAAAAGCTAATTCTAACCACCAGAATTTAATAGGAGCTCTCCATTGTTTACCAGACTTTGAACAAGCTTATATATTTAACTTTGCTCATATACTTTTTTAGTGTACTTTATATGCTGGTGTTATTCTAAATATTGTCTCGCATTTATGAGAACTTGATAGATGAAAGGACAAGACTTACTGTCACAGCGACAAAAAACCCATTGGAGGCAATGAGGACGTTGCGCGAGGAAAATAATTATGACATGGTAGTTATGAGTCTACACATGCAGGAGGTGAACGGGATGGAATTTCAAAGACAAGTTGTTCGAGAACTCAAGATTCCTGTAATCGGTAAAGATTGACCCTTTTGCTTATTTACTTTGTACTATGATCCTCATTTTGCAATTTCCATGACAACATTTGCATGATTTTGTTGCTTTGACTTGTATAGTAATGTCAGCTGATGACAATCAACATTTGATGCTCAAGACTTTAGAGGATGGAGCTATTTTTTACTTACTAAAACCGGTTAATGGAGAAGATCTTAAGAATGTGTGGCAATATGCTATTACAACAAAGAAGAGAAAATCTATTGTTGTTGAAGAAAGGAGTGACAATTTATATTCAAATATCGAGAAAATACCTTGTCATGATACCAAGTCGACGTCATCTATCAACAACGACATCGATCGTAATAGTGGACAACTAAATATCATTTCGAAAGTGGAAAGAAAAAGGGGCAGGAAGAAAATGGCTAAAGAAGATGATGGTGGACGTGAGTTTGAAGATGATGGAGAACTTCACAATAGTGCTAAAAAGAGGTCAAAAGTGGTTTGGACGAGTTCACTTCATACTCGTTTTCTGCTAGCTGTTAACCATATCGGACTGGACAGTAAGAAGAAATACAAAATTTTAAACTTTTCATATTCAAAATTCCACTTGTGCTACAGTATATGACTGAGAATTGATTATTGCAGAGGCTGTTCCCAAGACAATCCTTCAGTTTATGGGTGTGCCAGGGCTCACAAGAGAAAATATTGCAAGTCATTTACAGGTTTGATTGCTCACATATGTATAAGTCTTGTAACCATAACTTAACATACTTAGGAATATTTGCTTTCTTATTTATTTTATTTTTCAATAAGAAATATTTATGTCACCTTTTAACAAACAAAACTACATATATATACACTTCATAATCTATTATTAGGCTTTTTGAGGTCTAATTTGTAGTTCATTTATCTAATCATGTATTGAAATCCCTTTATATTGCTATTGAGCTATATAATGTTTATATTATTTGGTTTGCAGAAGTATCGTAACTTTTTGAAAAAGCTTATAGAAAATGGTGGAAAGTTTCCGTCGACCCTTTCACAAAGGACTTTGCGATCCTTTGGTTCTAATTCGTCGTTTCTCTATAGAAGAATCAAACTGCAAGACTTAGATATGCTAAGTCGAAGAAGGCTTGATCCATTGTTTCAAACGGCCAATAAGAGTTCTAGTTTTATCCAACTGCGACATCACAATCATAAACTTTCACATTTGTCTCTTTTTCAAGGTAACAATGAATCTCACTATCTTATCATTCTAAAATATTTAACTAATGTTTGTCAACCAAATACTCATTGTAAATTTAATTTTTTCGAATTTATACCAGGACCGAGCAACTATCAACCCCATTTGTTACAGTCTGACGATATTCGAAGAGACCTTACAAATTCCAACCAAGGTTTTTCGAGATTTGGTGATACTCCAACATGCAATAACATTGGAACTGCATCAAAAGTTGGAGGTTATGGTTACAATCAAGTTTCAGGTAATAGTTCTATCAATACTAAAGCAACTATGATGGGTAGTCCTTATCAAAATCAAAAGTTCAACTTCAATAGTTATATCGAAATGAAATTAAATGGTACGGGCTATGAGTTTATTGGAGCTAGTAAACCATCATTCAATGGGGGTATTGGATTGCTTCCAAATGTTGGCTTTAATGGTTCAAATCTTGGATTGAGAAACCGGGATTCTAATGGGGACATAAATGTTGCATCAACGCTGGCAATGAATGAGCCGTTAGGCTACAGTTCAGCTTCACAACAACCTTCTCTCTTTATAAATACATTCCCATGCCCATCAAGCACCAACAATAAGCAAAACAATTATTTGGGATCGTCGGCACCGTTGTGCCAAGAACTCAATTTTTTCAAGAGATCAAATGGAGGAATGAACAACCATGTTGATGTGATCAATATGATGGGTAATACTTTTACCACCCTTGCCAATGATGCTCCATGCTTTGGCGAGTATATGTTCAATCATCAACTACATGATGACATTGAGAAGAGTGGACTTCAATCCAGCAATTCCATCCCTTCTTCATTGGACACAAGTCAGGTTCAAATATGTCCCGAACTATTTCATTATTCTGTGTCATAGCATTGACCAAATGTTTATCTTATACACTAGTTGGTTCTAAAATTCATGCAGCAAGAAGATGGAGTTCGTGAGCTCAAGTTCTCAAGTGACAATGCTCGCTATGGTGATATTGAAATGAACAATATTGTTACGCAGTTGCCACAGTACCCAAACTTCTCCAATGAATTGTCTCAACATACCAAGCAAACTACCAATCTTGAAGTAAATGCCTATGATCAGGTAAACTTCATTCTCTTATCTAATGTAAATCCATATATTTACTTACCCACTTTCTCAAATCAATACTTAGAATTAATTATATGTTCAAGGTGTGTGTGAGCATGTGAATCCACCCAACATTGACGATAAAAAACAATTTTTGAGAGAGATCTTAATCCCATAAAAAATAAACAAACTAGTCAAAGTGATGATGGTTTCCAAAATAAGAACATTAGTTCTTTACTTTAATTTGCAAGCCGATTTCAAAAGTCTATATGGAAATCATGTTGTTTTAGCATTACCAAGTATCTATGTTATGTAATAAATAGATCTAGTTTCCATTCATGCAGCAAGAAGTTGGAGTTACAAAGATCGCATTCTCAAGTGACACTTCTCACCATGGTTCTATTGAAATGAACAACCTTGTAACCCAGTTGCCACACCCTAGCTTATCTGATGAGTTGTCACAACATACAGAGCAAACTATCGACCTTGAAGAACTTTTAGATGCCTCTAGTCAGGTACACTCTATTATTTTATCATGTATCACGTTTATATTTACTTACTCGCATTTCAAAATAAATAATCAGAATTTAATGCTAGGTTCAAGGTGTGCATGACCATGCAATCCAACAAACTTTGACGACAAAAGCAATTTAGAGAATGAGTTTAATCCCTTCAATGATAGGATGGCGAGTCCAAATGTTTATGGATTTTCAAAATAAGAACACTACATCACTTTTAAGTTAAATACTAATTTCAAAAGTTTTAATAACAATCAAGTTGTTTTAGCATGACCAAGTTATGTAATGTGATTAATTTTTCATTCATGCAGGAAAAAGACGAAGTTACAAAGTCAACGTTCTCAAGTGATTCTCAATATGATGATGTTATCCAAATGAACAACCTTGGAAGTCAGTTGTCAGACCCCATCTTCTCTAATGAGTTGTGGGACCATATCGAACAAACTACTAGCCAGGAAGTACTCTTAGATGCCCCGGTTGAGGTAAAATGCGTCAAATTATCTAATATAATATTGTATATTTACTTACACAAATTTTCAAATAAAATAGTTAGAATTTAATGCTAGGTTCAAGGCATGCCTGAGTGTGCAAATCCAACCAATTTTGACGAAATAAGAAGCAATTTCGAGACTAACTTCAATCCCATCAATGATAAGCAGGTGAGGTCCAAATGTTAATAACCTCTAAAATGACTTATATTTCATTTTGCATACAAGAATTAAAGTGTTAATGTCAACCTTGTTTTACCAGGGTGCAAATGATGGACAGACAATAGAGCTCAATTCTAACGACTCGTTTCTAGCAGAGATCGAAGCAATATTAGACAATAAGGTATAATGTTGACTACTTCAACTAATTACATATGTCAATAATATCATAATTCAAAAGGAAATAATATTATTGTTTTAATTTATATTTGATTCACAGGATTGGGCCGATCAGTTCATTGAATGTCTCCATGAAAACAAGGATTGGACCTCCTTTTGAAGCAAATATTACAGTTGACAAGTCAAAAACTTGTAATGCAAACCAAACATGAGAAGTTATTCAAAAAGTTAATATATTGTTCAAACAATGCAAAAGGAAACTAAATAATATCAGTTTACAGTGTGGTAAGAAGTAAGAAGTAGATGTAATTTGCTTCCAAGACTTCATATTTGGACTACTTCTTAGATTCTTTACATAGTTGAGGTTTAGTTTCACTATGTAGTTGGATCACTGATATAAATGTTAGAAATGTTCCATTTGCAACCTAAACAAATGAGTAGATGATAGTGTTAGTAAGAGAGGAATGAGTTGTTTGAACTTGTCTAGACCCTTTGCTTTTTTTTATTATCTAATATAATAATTTTTAATAATATGAAATAAATAAATTAATTATAGGAGGATGACATGACGTACACATGACAACCACTTTATGAATTCATTATATGTCGTATATGTTTACGTCTTATTAACACATTTATGTTGACCGTTATAAGTAATGATTAGCTTCAAATTTGAGTCATAATCTGCCTAAAATTTGTAATTATGAATGTGTTTATCATTTAGGTAAATTTGGGTCATTCTTATTCAAATAGTCAAAATTGGGGCAACATAATAGAGATATTTTTCCTCATGTATTCCAAGTGGCATATATTTGAAGCAAATATGTTCTTGCAAAATCGAAAAGTCTAAGGGGCATTTTTTTTAAAACCTAATTTTTCATTATTTGATATTTATCTACTAAATTGGATCTCCCAAGAGATCCAAATTTGTTCAGGGAGGGCCGTTGGTAGAAAAATATTCATCGTTGCCATTTTCGACTCTCTTGCCAATTAGGGTTTTAGAGTGCTCTAGTTTTCATTGTATCTCAATCGCCGCTCTTAAAAGGTGAGCGGCCACATTGAATCTCTCATATCTATTTTGTCTCTGAGTTGTGCGTCTTCTTTCATTTCGCTCTAATTTTTGGTTTGGTTTCAGAGGGAGAAAAAAATATAGAGTTTCACGATTTCATTTGAGGTGCTTGAGCTAGATATTGTTTCACTTTATATGATATGTATTTCTATTGTGCTGGAATAGACTTATATGATAATTTGAGGTCATGATCTACAATTGTTGGTTACTAAAATATAAGATTCTTGATAGCAGTATGGTGTCGTCAGTTGCTTTTTAGGGAATGCATAGCCTTGTTGGTTCTTAATTAATGAAACCCAATGATATATGTATATGTGTTAGTCAGGTTGATGGCTTGATTAAAAGCATTTTAGGCATTGATCGACTAGCTTCTAATGGCGAATAACCTTTCACCTCTCCTATGCTCAATCAGTGTTATAATTAAAGAATCAAAATAGTCTGGTAAGATTGTGAGTTGAAAATATGTCAAGTTTTAACTTTTCACCTCTCCTATGCTCAATCAGTGTTATAATTAAAGAATCAAAATAGTGAGGGGTTTTGTGATTATCTTTTATACAGTAGAGTATGCATTAACATTATGATTTTTGTGAAATATATTTCTTTTTCGTGATGATGGTGAGATTCACATTAGGTGAAAAGACTAATGGGTTGTTTAGATGTAGGGATGACAATCAAGACCGGCACTGAAGGATATTCACTCGACTCGACCTGTAACAAGGTAGATAAAGTACGATATGCAAACGAAAGGGTAGGATTTTGACCCATCCATTGTTAAAACAGGGCGAGTATGGATATTGCTGCTAACCCGCTCTACCCTATTGACTAATCACATGTGAACTATAAAGAGGGAGAATCATAACGATTCATCTTCCTCTCTTCCTCTTTGATTCCACAATTCACAGACCGCCATTATTTCTCATCACTACACTCTACACTCAAGAAACCTATCCCAATCCCAAGCCTTATCGGTTTATCTTCCTCTCCGAAAATCCAGTTTCCAATTTCTCATTCCTTTTTGATTCGTAGCTTCCTAAATTCCTCCTTATATCCTCTACGTATAAAATAAAATAGAGATATAAAAGATGAACAAATCCCTTAGAACTACTCCCTTCTTCTTCCTCCTCCTCTGCTTCCTCGTCTTCGGACTACGCCATTGGTTGGGAATCAAAGAAAATGTAATCTTCGGTCAAGCGGCCTGCAGTCAACATTCAAAAAGAACTACAAGTCCAGTTGAAAGAAGCGTGCTTAGGTAGGTAATATCAACTCCTTGTTCTTTATTAGTCTATTTTGAATGTTTCTTTGTTTAGTATTGGGTAGGTGAGCTTTCCCATCAGTTCACCATATTGATTAAGCTCATTTTTAAAATTTTGTTTTGACAGAGCATGGACATGTAGGGCTAAATTGATCATATGTAGTTTCGTGCCTAGAGACAAAAGCTTTCTAGCATCAACTTAATGTTGCACCTCAACCTGATGTTATGTGTATTTCTACTAAAGGTGTGATTGAAGTAGCCACCCCGCAAATTATGGTGAGAAGGAGAAGTGCAAGGGTGCAACGCCTGTTATGGTGTTCTCAGTGAAGTGGCAACACTATAATAGAGTTAAAATGGATGACAAGCCAAAATTTTAGTGCAAGTACTATTAGAAGAAGCTTAGTGGATGACGTTGGAGCTGTGATTTTTCCTCCTTAGAAAGCCAAATCAAAGGTCTATAAATAGAGCTCTAGAGGTAGAACTAGGGGAGGAGATACGAGAGGTCAAGGAAGGGTCGTTACTCTGCCGACCGAGCAACCCTCCCGACATAGAACAAGACCACCTTCGAGGGAAAAATGGTGCCATAAACGGTAGCCTGTGACCCACTTTCTTTATCATCGGTGTTTTTTTGGGGCATTCTGGGGTCTTCATTTCAATCAATGAACACCCAAGAACCCCTCCCCATGGTTGGCTAAGTTCCTTTAGTTATGTAGGTATGTGAACCCTAGGGGTTTTAGTCATGTAAAACTTGATGTTTGGTTAATAAAATTGTTTTTATTCATATGTGTTGATGCTTGATTTCCTCTATTTTGTTATTTATTAATTTGAATGATTGCTAAGTCGACCTTACATTACTTGAGGTGCAAGGATCGAAATCCCATTCGTGTATGATTAAGACTAGAAATGGCGGTCATACATTGATTAATCCTCATTCGATCGAACGATGTGACGCCTCAAGTGAGAAATCTGTAGGGTCTTTGTCACCCATTAGTTCGGGTAAATGCTTCGACACAAGGTGGGTTCTAACAAAATAAGAAACCAACAACTCGTATGTTGCTAGATATCAAGGTTGTGATCCAATGTTATAGAATGACGCGCTTATGCGAGTTCTCATATCCGAGTATATTGACATGTTTACTCGCCTATGTTGTTAGAAAATATACCACTGCTAAAGAGCAATACACGCCAGGTTGTACGACGTGACACATATAAACTGGTAGATTGTGCCCTCGAGTGCTTGGTAAGCGGGTTCTCTTAAGATCGGCAAGACATGACCTGGATCGTGACAAGGATACATGACTAGGAGACCTAGGGGGAGCTTTCCCATGGAACACCTTCTTTCTCTAATCTCTCACTAGTCTAGTAGTTTAGATTTACTTTTCTACACTGTGTACTTTTTGAACTCTTACGCTAGGAGAGCCGTGTTGGTCCGACATCACGGTCTCCTTGAGATTTTCACGGTATGGTGACCATGAAAATATTTAGACCCGTGAGGTGCGCAAACCGTTCTGGAAACTACCAATGACCTTGTCACGACTCAGAGACCGTGGCATTTGACTGCTAACCGTGAACTTTGACTATTCTTCACTTTTTTCGCGCTTTTCAACCTTCAATCATCCAAAAACTTGTCCCCGAACGTCCCACATGTGCTAGGACATGAAATGTATAAAAATAGCACACCCTTATGTAAAATAGGTCAAGGGACGATGATTTGCAAAGTCAAACTATCAAGAAATGAGGATAAAATATGTGTAATTAGGCCCGAATAAGATTTTCATCTTGAGTTTGAATCCTTACTTTAAGATTGTGGGTAGAAACACCATAAAAAAGATTGTTCGGCCATTTACGATCACGAAAAGCTGTCTACAATGAGTTTTTTGGCGAATAACGAAGGTCAAGTGGCAATAATCGCAGACATGTTGACATCCTCTTATAATAAAGTTTTCATGGTAGTGACTACACATTACATCGACAGTAATTGGAGTTTGCAAAGTCAAATTATCAGGTATTTTTTTTATTGTCGTTTCCAAAAGGAGGTATTTTTTGTTGCATTCCCTTTTTACTATTATTGTTAGGGGTGATAAACAGTTAGTCAGTTATCGGTTTTAATTGATAACTGAACCGATAAAGTCGGTTAGTGATTAATTGTCCCCTGTAGGGTTGGCTCTATGCTCCTTATCCTTAGGTGGTGTATCCTCCATCGCCTTGGATTTAGTTTTGACCAAGTTTTCACAAATTTGAGAGCGGCAACAGGACTTCAATTCTGCTTCAGAGATGTTATGAGTGGAAAGCTAAATCGATGCCATGCCTAACGAGTAGGTCGAAGATGATCATAGTCGTGGTAGGTGGCCTTATCATGAGTAGCTATGTAAATGTTTCAATAGTAGAGTTTCCCTTCTTCTTGAGGATAGTGGAGATGATTGTATGGATGAATCCTTCTCCTGTCATTATATCTCATTTTCGAGCAGTCTTGATAGCATTAGCCACCACCCATCCAGGATGGATCATCTTTTTGGAGAAGATGGCTTGATAAATGGATAGTTCATCGTAGTACCAAAAGCCATACTCTCCGGGTTTATGAATAGGGTTTGTTGAAGGAAGATGTGTGGGAGGTGGTACAATGGCATGTTCATATCTTCACTCTTGCTTACTCCTGGGATGAACTTCTCTGCTTTGATGAGATGCCTCCGCACGAAATTAGATCCTTGAACATGCTTTCTTGTGGCAAAAGGACCAACAAGCCTATCCTTCATCCTGATATGGCATCCTCTGGTCTTGTAGCATAGCTTTTGAGCTAATGAGGTGCAGTTATCTTTGTCGAATAATCCTCCAACTTCGT